TTTCCACGGCCTCCCGAGGAGTCCCTCGTCCGTCCCCCCTCTCCCCTTCCTCGAAATCGAAACATTCCTCTCCGAATCGACCTCCAACCGAGCCCTTGCGAACCCTTCTCCTGCCTTCTCCTCTTTCTCCTCCCATCCCTGCGTCACAATTCCTATTTCCACGCGTCCCAAAAAAATTGTTATAAAACGAGAAAAATGGCCAAAAAATATTTTTTATTTTTCATACCCACTTGTATGTAGAACATATACGATATATTTTTTTGACACGGTTGAGGAAACGGAGCTTGATTGCGAAGAAAGAAGGGAGCCGGCCGTATCGCATTCCCCAGGATCGTTCTTTCCAGATTCCGATTGAAAATGTCCGGGATGCGACGTCGGGGGATGCGATGGCCTCTCTTTCATTCCTTGCGTTTGGTGCGATATCTTACTGCTTAGTATTAGAAGTTTTGTAAAACCGAAGTCGTTCTTCAGTTTTGTGAGAGTGAGAGAGTAAGAGAGAAATAAAAAGAGAGAGAGAGAGAGAAAAAAAACGTTCGAGAACAAGGGCTGAAGTCCGCTTAACAACGTGCTCACGTACAATTTTCAAAACTGTACTACGCAAAAATATTCGGCACGCTTTCTTTTTCTTAAAGGAAAGAGTATCAAACACCAAGATGTCTTTCCTTTTACCGCGAGATGTAAATCACACGAATCATTTAATTTGAATTTGGAACGCTTGTCGTTTTGTCGACATCGTCTCTTTTGATAAGTAATCCGCGAATGAGCGATATTATCGGATTCTGGGAAAAAAAAATACAAAGAAAATATATATCGTGAGCACGGAGGCGCTAATTTCTCGTACGTACTTTTATCCGTATTTTAAGTGGCGCGCGTTAGTAGCCTAGCGCGAGAAAACATGTAAATGTTGAGACTGGATTACGAACGTACAAAAATACCTTATACCTGTAAACAAGACATGTTAATCACTTCGCGATTTGATCAACGCATATGATCGTCCGAGGGAGCGAGAAATGCGCTCGTGTAATTGCGATTTCATTCGATCCAACACATATGCGGCAATTCTTAACGACTCCGAAGATTTATCCGCGAATCTGATTGCAGACCGGCAATGGCGTGATTCGATGAAAAAAAAAGAAAATCTGATTTGTCATTTAATTCCTCACACGATTGATCATTAAAATGTATATTTTTTAAGTGAAATATTAAGAGACATTTTATTACATTCTCTCCTTGACATACACAACACACGTATGTATACACATAACACACACTCACGCATCCCTCGACATCACATTTATTTAGTCTCGATTTGCCTGGCATGTCCGCGCCATTGTTATGCAATCGTGAATCCACCCGGTGAGATTCATCTCGTTTTCAGAGAGATCACGATTGCCGAGCGAAGCATAGGCGAGCATGCGACTGGAATGTCGCTATATTAATTCTCGGAAGCCCGATTTCATTGATAAATGGCACGCGATATGCGAGGTGTGACAGGCGAAAGTTAGCCGTGGACAAGATATATCACACTCCATTGGAATCCCGAAAGCCTAGAGTTTTAATAATCCGAGAACGTTAACATGATCTCGTTCGCGAAGACGTACCAAGTTTAACTTAGAGAAGAAGCCCTTAGCAAAAAAAAAACGTCGGAGATTTTGTGTAAAATCGTGTCCATGTCGAAGGAATTAATTAGAGAGTAGCTGACTCGTATACTTAACTTTTTAAAGAATTTAGGAAGTCGTCGAAGGGATGCGGGAAAACGTGAAAGGTTGTTAATGCACGCGTTGGTTCTAAAGCGCTTCTCAGGATTTCCGGCATGGCATACGGGGCATGCATTTCGACATGGTCGCGGTTCCGGGGAACAGTCGATCGCCAGGAGATCGTATTTAATTTCGTACGTGCACGCCGTCCTTGCGCGTCGACGTTCAAGTCGGCCACAAGCGTATATATGAGTACAAATTGCAGCCCTTTAATCTTCGTGTTAAAAAAAAAAGAAAAAATACAGAGGCGGGGTGCAGCTATTTAACGGGTGTAAGAAGCCTCGATGATTCATCGCGTCGTCAAAGCCGATTATCCCAAACGCTCTTTCTCTCGAAGTAGGTCTACCCCGAGAGATCGTCGATGCTTCTTACGCTTTTTGTGCCGCATCGGCGTAGGCGACCGCACGGAAATACAGTCGGACCTCCGTGTTCTGAAATATAATCGAACTGAACCGAACCCTAGTAGCGCAACTTTATTGCAGCAATATTGGCTAACAATATGTATCCAATTTTTATGTTGGGTATATATTAATTTTTCATATTGGTACTACATTGTAAAGTAGACGCTCTCTTTTTTTTAGCTAATATTGGCAGTGCACTTTTATTTTATTAATAATCAATATTAGCTTTACATTGGGAAATATTGGTTCTATTCCCAATAGAACCAATATGTTGCCAATGTATTGTGCTACCAGTACCTCCGTAAACTCGATTTTTTGCTCTCTCGTGCTTATCGTCTCTACCGTTCGATTTTGCTCGACGAGATTTGCAATAATGTCTCGTCTTTTACTTGCTTTTTCATGCTGAATTAATCGCGAGCATGGCGTTTTATATTTCGCGTTTATTAAAATTATTAAAACTTAACTGAAAGGGAAATTAAGAATAGAGAGGTTGCGCGACCCTAATTAAGAATACGAAGATTCGACTGTACATCTGACCGATTTGTAGTTATTGAAGCGTCGGATCGTTTCCTCTGAAAAAGAAAACGATGTCGATTTATCCCCAACCCGCCTTCGACTGAACGGAGAGTCGCGATCGCGTTTTATTAGCCTCGGTCGACAACGAAAAGCTCCATTGAAAGCTGAGGGATATTTTCGAATCGGTCATATCTCCTATAGAAAAATATTACGTCAGCTTTGAGGATACTAATTGTAAGTGCGAATTGGATATAATCAGATAATCTGATAATTAAAAAAATTACGAAGAACAAAAGCGGAAATCGGCGAGAGAGGCGCGTCTCCCGATTTCGACGAATGCACTGCCGATCGCAAAACGTGCTTTCTGCCCAAAACAATCGAGAAGCTTAAATCCGGTATCCTTGAGAGGGTCTCAAGTATTTTTCTATAAGGACTCGAGGACGCTCTTCGTGATAAAGTCTTAAGGAAATTCGTCCTGTGTGTTTTGTGCGTGCGTGTATATCAATCAGCCCAGAGCGAATCGCGTAAGAATTTACCTTGTTGACCTTTTCCGATGTTTAATTGCAGTTACGTGGTTTCGGGATTGACGAGAATCCGTTGTTAAATCTTGAAACTATTCTATGGAAAAAAGAGAGTGAGAGAGGAAGAAAGAAAGAGAGAGAATGCGTCGTCACGGTAAAGGCCATTGCACGTAACAAAGTTTTAGTCATAATCGTAAGGCCGTAAGAAAATAGAACAATCACACTCGATTATTCTTCGAGCTCAAGGAGAATAATTATCGACTGTGATTGGTCTATTTTCTTACGGCCTTACGATTATGACTAAAACTTTGTTACGCGCAATGGCCTTAAACCTCGAACCTCAACGTATTCTTCGATTACGCAATGACGATACGCTATATCGGTATGTCCGTCGTAAGCGACCGTCGTAATACGACAAACATCCTGTTGATACGACATAATCTTTTCCACACCGCCGTTTGTTGCAAGATTGAGGTGACGATGCAGAATCGGTTCCGATTCTTCGTGAACAGAGACGCGAAGTCGCTTGGAAACTTGAGAAAATAATCGCGACACTTTTAGCGATAACGGGGACAAATCGAGTTAGCGTTAACGTTATGTCATCAACGGCTGATTTCCAAGAATTTTATGAAGCGTTACGGAGCTGCGAAGTGAGTTTGCTTAGACACCGACGATTACCGCGTGCAGATCGCGCGGTAGAAATGTAACGGCTGTAAACGTCCTATTAATTAATGCGAGTCAATACGAGGATTCTGAGGGGGATGCTTTTTGTATTACACGAGGTAACGAACACGACAAATACAAGAGAGACTGAGAGTGTGTGTGTGAGAGAGAGAGAAAGAAAGAGAGAGAGAGATATTTTCGTTTTCCGAAAACGGCCGCCTCTTCTCTCCGGGAGCTTCATTCGTTGGTATGCAGCTACTTAAATTGGCAAGCAGGCGTGAAGAGATAGCGCGAATATTAAACGGCGATAAGGAGGCAGAGAAGCGCCAAGGTCGATAAGAGGAAAACGAAGAGAGTCAGAGTCGAGAGATTTGTATAATGTCTCGCTGCGCCAGATTATAACCACTATTAGCCGTATATACTTTATTGGAATATATTGAATTATTAATAGGGAGAAAAAGTCGAAAATAAAGAGAGAGGCAAATATGGAAAAATCGTGTCGGCCTCGTTTATTCCCCGCGAAACCCGTTCTCGTCCCACGAGCGTTCTGCAAAACAGAACGCTCCACCGTTGCCCTTTTTCGTTTTTCTTTGGTGACTCCTCGCTCGTTTCTTCGAGTTTACATTTCTTCCTGGTCGTCCGAAATAGCAACGCTGTAAATTAATATCTTTCCTTTTCGAAAACTGATTTGAAAGTGTCTGTTGGAAATTTTGTCGATAGAATGTCAGCAGAAATATAACAAAATCTACTAACAGAATATAATGACAGATTGCCCTTACAGAAATTTAATACTGTACGTGATTATTTGACTAGTGATTAATTACTTATTTTGAGTATTAAAAGCATGACTGTTTTTAATGCTTTTAATACTCAAAATAAATAATTAATCACAATAATCACTGGCCAAATAATCACTTAATTACAGTATTAAAATTCTGTAAGGGTGACTGCAGAATCTGTCTTTTCCATTTAAATGAAGCATTCCATTTAAATATTTGTGTATAATGACAGATTCTGTTCGGTTTCTGTCGACAATTAATCTACTGTCAGATTATATCGACAGGTTCTGCTACCGAAACATGAATTTAATGCAGACACAGATGATACCGAATCTGTTGTAATATATCTGAACAAATCTGCTGTCAATCTATTTTCATACTGCAGGCAATTTATGCTTATTGGGCCTGTAGTTATCGTGCTCGAGAATGTCACCCACGCTCGCTTATTCCCAACGGCGTATTATTTCGCCAGGCATATCACATCAGGATATCGATCAAATATACGGTGGTTTCTGCATGTCGCGAAGACACGCACGCGGCACACTCAACGCAAGCTAGGCGCGGAGACGCTCACCAATCAGTCGAGTATCCTCGACGACAACGGGACGGACGAGCGTCGGAAAAAGAAAATCGCGTCGCGTGGGCGAATATGTCCGAGCAGCGAACCGATTCGTACGACTCGAGACCGGTAACGTCCAAGAGGTCGGAGAGGCCGCCGTTCAAGCTGTGTTTCTCGAGAAACCAGCAGATCGGAAGATCCGACGCTTGCGTGTCAAAAACGAACGGTACACTGTTAAATATTAAACGATATAAATTTTAATCAATATCTCGAGTTAAATAACACTATTTTTAACCACCTATGTGTGTTGAAACTTATTATTTTAACACAAAACAGTATTATTTTAATTCCATTAGTTAAACTAACATTGTTTCAGTTAAATTAACGACATATTGATATAGGAGTAGTGGCGACCTATAGGAATGTTTAAAATATAATATAATTTGACACTACAAATTTAACAGTGTATACTATCAAGTACGTGGAGTGTCTCGGAACCGCCGAGTGTCCCTCTCGATCGTTCTCACCGCGGGAGCGATCGAGATCGAATTCAAATCGGCCGAAGGAATCGACAGCGAGAAGGATATCCAGCGGAATCGAGATACCCCATACCGATTTCGACTTATTTCGTCCAGTGATCTCATTTCATATTAGCTTCAAAGTTGAGATACCGAGTCATTAAAAATCAACAATTACTTTCGTAAATCTTATACCGCGAGATTAATTCGCGCGAATTTTTCGAGCCCGACTCTATCCGAGTTATCGAACGTAAGGGGATGAAAGAAAACACGTTCCGCGTGCGCTGCGTCGGCCGCGGTCTCGCGATCTCGATTTTCGCAACGCGAAACCGCGAGCCGAGCGTAATACGATCCGAATAAATGCGCACGCGAGGTGCAAAATCAATTGCAGCTGACTTCGTCACGCCGAAATTCTACTCGCGGGAACTCGAGGACGCACGAAATGCGGACGTAAGCGACACGCTCGAGAGACTCGCCGCTGAGGAAGATAAAAACCCGAGGAGGCTATACCAGTCGCCGCTATTGACCAGCCACACGTAATTCCTGTCTCTCTTTTGTGCCCGCACGTCGATTTTCTCAGCTGTCTGTCGCTACAACCGCTAATTATGACGATTTTCAGTTACGGTTGGTGGCACGATAAGGGAATACACCCGAAGGACGCGCGATTTAACTTTCACAAAAGAACGTCCGACCTGGTGAGCTTCCAAATGAAAATTTACGCCGAGGATCGAAAGTTGAAGGGCCTCAAGCAATAAACGGGGTTGAAGTCGCTTTGGCTGCTTTCTTACTCACTATCACTATTGACATATGATAATAGTAATTTAATGGTACTCATCTATAAATAAATCGAAATACGTTTTGATTATCGTGGGGCGACTTGTACATTTTTAATCCTTTATTTAACTGAGAAAGATTTTTCTATCATAAGCAATACGCTGCCGTTTGCAAAAGTGTGTGCATATAAGGATATATGCGAATGTCCGCAGTGCGTTGAACTCACGTCTGTAGATTCGCTAAGTTCAATCTTTTACTGACGATAAGATAAAATGTATAACGTGAAATGTATTAAATCTCAGTTGATTTAAGAGAACTTAATCCGGAAACAGGCATCTGATATTTTTTGCATAAATAATCACTTGGATTTTTACACCCCAGTTAAAAGTCAAATGTATATTTTAAATACATTGCATATTATTAATTATTTTATGTTATTATAGTATTTGAGGACAAATATGTACATAGATTTACTCAACATTTTCTGAGAGAAAAAAAATATATTCAAAAAACGAAAGAAGTACATTAAAATTATTGTAAAGTGAGTTTTCATTTTTTCGATATTAGAGTGTAAAATTCACTCTAGTCGCTTGTTCCCGGGTTAATGTTTACTTCTATCAATGATTAACTTTAGTCTCGGTTTAATTTACTTTTTATCTTTTTCCAACTCTAAGAATTAAAGTTAATTTGCATAGATTAACTTGATAAAAATGGCCGTAAGTCGATCGTAATAACATGAAATTTTTAGAATATTTTAAATAAAGTCTGAATCCATACTACACACTAATGAAATTGATACGATTTAAAGTCGTAAAAAAATTCTTTTTTATTACATAACAAATACAGAGCGATTGTCAAAATAACACAATTATAACAGTATCTGGTCGGATTAAATGACAAGAATATGAATCAGTTATCTAGCTAAAATATTTCTCTCAATCTGAACAGGTTGAAACAGGTTGAAACTAGAGTTGAAACAGATTAAAATCATTGTGACCAATGATAACGCATGTGCCGCATACTGATAGCAATACAGTCGCGATGAGTGGAGTGCAAAAGTTTAGCATTAGCAGATCTCGGAAATCGAGCAGGTTCTCAGCTAGCCAAATTTATCGAGAATAGATTTTGAAATTATCTGCTGCAAATTTTGTCGATAGAATTCCAGCTGAAATATAACAGATTCTGCTAACAGAATATAATGGCAAATTGACTGCAGAAACTGATGAGTATATAAAACCTGCTATTTAAATAATGTATACCTATACTTAAATGTTTACGAAATGACAGATTCTGCTTAGTTAATTTCTGCTGGCAATCAGTTGTTAGATTGTATCGGCAGACCTGCCGGCGAAACACGAGTTGGAAAGTTTTAGGTAGTGAAACAAGTAAATTGATTATTGATTATTGATTACATACTTTACCTCACTTTCTTAATTTTTTTTTTTTTTTTATCCCTAGCCCTTAGGGAGAGATTATTTTACGATACCCTTTTCTTTTTAACCAAATTTGGCGCGCATGCGCGAAAAAGCTTAGGCCGCAGGGCGCAGGAAACATCGTTGCAAATCAGTCGTATACATGAAACGCCGCTAACGTCACGCTGAACGTGGCTGAACGTCGCGTCGCGGCGCGAAGTCGAACGTGGAAAAGGCGCGAAATCGCGTCGCGCATGCGCGAGCGCGCGTTTTCGCAGTTTCGATATCTCGCCGCGTTCCCGCCTTTCGACCATCGGCCAATCAGCGTCGTCCCGCTAAGCCGGTTCGGCGGGACAATCTTGCGCAGATCGCGGCAATCGCGCGCGACCGGCGCGACTGAACCGCCACCGAGCGATTTGTTTTGTCAAATGCACCCCGGGGATCGGTGGGCACCTGGAAACCTCGTGCGGAGAATCGCCGAAAAGAAAAGGGAGCGGACGCAGACGTGGACTGGCACCAGCGGTTTTTTTCGCCAACGATGAATTCCGGCGGTGCGGTGGAATTCGAGTACGCGCGGCTACACGAGGAGTCCCGTCCGCCGAAATCCGAGGAGTCCTCGTCGCCCGAGAGGTGAGGCAGATCGTCGTCAACGTCACGTCACTTTTGGTTATCGGCGAACTCTCGTACGAGCTCCCTTACCTGTTGCCTGTGTGCTTCCTTGGGAGCGAGGGGAAGGGACACGAGCAGGTGTGACACCCGCGCGCGCGCGCGCGCGCTCATTCGCTCTCTCGCGAGTAAGGTTACGAGCGAACCGCGGATACGCTCGTGGCGTGTTTTGTTAGCGTTTCTCTCGGTCGGAAAACACACGCTTTGTATAACGTTGAATAGCGCCCGGAATACTCCGCGATCCCTACGACCGACCGTCCTGCTTTGGTGTGCCACGCAGCGAACGCTCGATGCATTGCGATCCCATGGCCGAGACTTGACGCTGCCGAGAAACCTTCGTCCTTTCCATTGTTCGGTCGCAAGTTCTCTAGCTCTTGCGTTTTCGTGAACAATTTTGTGTTTGTGGTACCTTGGGAGAATCTTCGAATCTCCCGACGGAAACTCCGTCTTCACTCCGACAAAATCTCCGACGAAACGTCGTCGTGATTTTGTCGAATGTGTGGCAGTTGCCATTCGTGAGATTTATGGAATAAATGTGTGCTCTTTACAAGTTAAATAACAGCAAACTCGCATACTTTGGTAAATGTAAACTTTGTGGCACGGATTGGTCTGAATAATTCTTTTTGTCTTTTTTTTTGTGTGCATGATTGTACGTAAATAAATCTATTAATTTCTCTGTAAACTGTTATGTACAAATGTTATTTTTATTTAAGAAACACAGACCAATTTATTCTTTTTTGCGACTTATATGTAAAGTTAAGGGTATGTCGCATTGTGATCTTTATGATAAATGTCTAATATAGCCTGTAACTCAAATACTAACTCCTCCTTTCCTACAGTATTTGTGCCTGGTTTTATAACAGTTCAAGAGCTTGATATCATTAGAGTTTGGGAAATAAGAGCTTGTATATCTATACATATATAATGAATAAAGACCCATCTTCCTCGTCGTCACCTTGGTGGAACAGGTTTATATATATAATTTGTTCCTTTATTTACAATGAAACTGGTACCTCTGTATCTGAATTTTTTTGGAGTAAAATAATTCTCTGTGTTCGCAGGAAACGATTACGTTTGGACGATGGCTGTAATAACAATCTAAACAGTACGCTCAACAGCGACTCTCGAAACGATACAAAGTGGTCATATTCAGGAAATGCCAGTCTCATAGAGCCCGAAATGCTGGAGGACATGGGTGTCGGTATGCTGGAAGATGGAGTAGGAAATTATGAGAGTACAAAAAGACTACAATCTGAAGAATGTACAATCCTATCCGAGAACTTAGATAGTCATAATAGATCAATAATGGATGAATCTGATGTCTTTGGATATCAAGAGGAGGTTTATACTAGTTCTGGTTTGGAAATTGCAAATACAGACAGGTTTGTAACCAAAGAAGTTGCTTTGAACGTTTTAAATTATATCTTCACTTGTTGTTTATTTAATTATTCTTATAGGATTCAACAAGATTCATATGATATGGATGATACAGCTGTGATCGGTATTGGGGAGAATGAATCTGGCTATTCCTCAAAAATGGAAGCTGATTATTTTGGAGATTTAAAGGAGAGCCTTACTAAGGAAAAGATGAAAAATTCCGTCGAGAAAAACGAGCAAACTAGTTTAGATCAATTTTGTTTATTTAGAAGAAGAAAGAAGTCCTCCGTTGATGGCGAGGACAAATTTAATAAATTATCAGATGAAATAATGTTGATGATATTAAAATGGTTACCTAAGAAATGTTTGGTAAGAATAATAATGTGTTAAATGTAATTTTAATAAATTGTCATACTTATATTATACAATTGTATAAATTATTTTGCGTGCAGGTACGCTCTATGCTAGTGTGCAAACGTTGGTGTCAAATAGCTCGAGATGAAGCACTGTGGACGAGATTAGACTTGGGTAGTAAAGTTTTAAACGAAGGCACGTTAGGGTATATATTGCCACGAGGAGTACAAATTCTAAGACTGGCACAAGCGGAAATCGCGGATCCTGTCTTTTGTGAAGGCAGTGAAGTTCTCAGCGAATCTTATATCAGTAAATTACAGTATTTAGATTTATCTATGGCGGTTATATCACCGGTCGGTTTGGCTACGTTATTATCCAAATGTAAATATCTGAAGAAATTGTCGCTGGAAAAGTGTATATTAAATAGAGATTGCTGTAGAGCGATTAGTCAAAATACTGAATTAGAAGTTTTGAATCTAACGATGTGCGAGAATATAGACATTGGGTGTATTACGGATTTAATGAAACTTGAATGGTAAAATTATTAAACTCGTTCTTTCTCTATATGTACATATACATGGATGTAGTTTCCAATTTTAATACGATCAATGGATTGTTTCAGCTTAACTGTTCTCAATATGTCGTGGTGTTCTTTGGATAATGAATGTATGACTTTGCTGTGTAAAACACTGCCAACATCCATTACACGCTTGAACGTAGCGGGCTGTAGAAAAACTATGAGTGATGAGAGTAAGTATAATAATTGAGATTTTGTTATTTATTGGGTTGTAGCATGCATTTCTTTTTAAATTTCAGACGTAAAGGACTTGTCAAAAAGGTGTCCGGATATTATAGAATTGGACTTGAGTGATTGCGCTATGCTTACAATTCAAACCATCCATAATTTACTGAACTTCACGAAACTCGAGCACTTGTCATTGAGCCGTTGTTACAGCATTCCGCTATCAGCATATATGAGATTAGCTCATATGCCATGTTTATTATATTTAGATGTTTTTGGCTTAATGTCGGAGTCGGTTCTCAAATCATTACAAGCTACCTGCCGCGAACCTGAAATTAATAAGTACCTTTATAGCTCAGTCGCGAGGCCAACAGTCGGTATTCGAAGAACCAGTATTTGGGGCCTTCGAGTTAGAGATTAAATCAATATATAGGCAATACTTTCATCATTTACGAGAAATAGATTTCATTAATAAATCGAGCTATAGATTTGACCAAAGGGTAACTGATCTACATGTAATATTGCATCTTTCTCTGCAGACTGAATACTGTACTGATGACAGGAGAAATTTAATTTGAACAAATGAAATAACGTAGATGTTAAAGGTAATACGTGTGTTCTTCCGAAAATTTAATGTTGAATTGTTGCTCAGTTGTATACATAGAATCCTTTATATATAGTGTCCCAGACGTTAACGGCAGACTTCTAAAATCATTTTGAGATGAATAACCAAATATACCAATAACTTAATACTAAAATAATCTCAGGAATCTAACATTAACGAGTATCGCGATAAGTCTGGAACACCCTGTATACACATTATTCCTAATACGGAGCATTTGCTGATATTTAACAGATCAAGTTATTTCGGCTAGTGAGACCGTTTAACTCACAACTTTCGATCGTGTTATATATATATATTGAATTTTGTCAAAGGCTTTTGTTTGGCTAATTTACACTAATTTTTATTACTAAAGATCTCAGAAAATGAAGTAATGGCCAGATATACATGTGTATTATTTACAACAAAGAGAAGTCATATAAAACGCGAAAGCTCAAATTTACAATGCGTTTGTGATAAAACTCCATCTTTATTGTTAGTTAACGATTATATAAACTAATCAATTTGTTGCGCATACAATAAAATTTCTTGGACTGAAAATTGGTATTTTTTTTTACGTTGGATACATATTTGTCATCGTCACATTGTTATGGTATAAAAATTATTTTTAATTTAAAGGATCACGATTCTTATAAGAAAAACATTTTCGGTTAGTTTCCTTGAATTTGTGATATGTTACAGTTCTCGTATCCCTGCTGAAAAGTTTTAAATTTCATCAATCTTTATAGCGAGTGAAAACTCGTGTAGACAAATGTACGAACGGTTCTTGTAAAGAAGATTTCTAAATGCCTATAATTCAGAAACTAATCACAGAAGGTTGATGAAATTTTTGAGACTTTTCATCAGGACACAAGAACTACCTACATCACAAATTCAAGCAAATTGACTGAAATTTTTTTTTATAAAAATCGTACGGAGTCTTTTGAATATAATTCTTTAATGTTATACTAAGTAGTAACTTTAATTGATTATTTTGTTCGAATTAATTTATTATATATTTAACTTTACTTTTAAAACTGCAACAATTATGAGCGTATTTGAAGCATATCGTATTTAAATATTTATACATCAATGATTACGTGTTATATGTGTGTTGCGATGGTATAATACTCATAATTTTGTTCGTGTTAGAATAGATAGCAAGAAAAGAATTCACAAATAAAATTTTTGAAATTGACGTTCGAATTTTTGATTTGTACTACTATTTCTTATATCTTATTCACCTGACGCTTTACTGATTTTTCAGTTTCCATTTTTGCGGTTTGAATTCGTAGACTTGAAATTTTAAGAAATTATTGAAATCCTCATTTTTAGAATTTTTATTGCTAATATTAGTGAATATTTAGTGCTAATTCTTATCCGATTATATTTTCCTGATACTTCGTCGATTTTTCAGAATTTTAACTTTGACCATTCACATCGACTTAAAATTCTCGGAGTTACAATTTTTGAAATTTCAGTGCTACTTGTTCGATTATATTCTCCTAATACTTTATTGATTTTTCAAAGTTTATATTTTTATCCTTTACAAAATATCGATTTTTAAAAAATGTTTTAAAATTATAACAGAAAATTATGTAATTAGCGACGGTCGATAAGAGCGCTACCAATTTTATCGACTATAAATAATTACTCGACCTAAAAATTTTTTTTTTTTAATTTCAATTTCTACAGGCAAATGGAATATCAGGAAAATGTAACGAGGTGAAAAATATCGTTTACCGAAATTCGACGAATCGTAATTCCAAGAATTCCTCTCGAAAATTAACAGAGTATGCAGGCGTCAATGGACCCCTCGGCGTTTTACACGTGTCCTCCAATCGTTTCTTATCCCATCGGTTTCCTTTCTGCGCATATGCGCGAGTGATCACGCGCGATCCGCGCGCGATGATTCTAGTGACTTTCCACGCCTCCCCCCAGGGATACCACGGAACGGCGAGCCTTCGCATGCGCTTCATTCCAAAAAAAACCATCAGCCATATTGGTGTGTTGTATCGCTGTCCTCAGTAATTCCGAAGATCAGCAAAGGTATTTCACCCGAAGGCCTCCGCCGTCGCCGAATCCGTTCCGCGACCGGCCGGCGATCGTTTTCCGCGTGGCCGCGTGGCCCCGGTCGCGACCCACCGCGCATGCAGATCACCCCGATGTTCGCTGGCAAAAAAAGTTTGGTTAATGTTGCCACCTTGGCTCGCGGAGAGCAACCACCTCCGCTCGCGCTTTATGAGAGTTAACGTCGCGAATATGGGACGCGGCTGCTGTCGCGATAACGCGTCCGATGTCCACGCTCGACGTTCCTACCGGCTGCTCCCCGTCGTCTCGACGCCATAGACGCCGGAATCCCCCCCGAGGATGAATGCGATCAACTCCGCGCTGCTGTCTGTTGTGCCACTCTCCACGTTCGTTGTTTCCGATCGGCTCTACGTGTCTACAAGTCTACACGCGTTTGACAAAATACGCGCGCGCGCGATCGCCGATGACGAGCCGATACGCCGTCGAGCAACAGGTACAAGCCTGTCGGTCTGTGCGCGCCGATTCGCGAAATCGTCGCGTTAAATTTTATACCGTGTCGCACACGTCCGTGTTTCGGTTGTAACAGATGACGAGCCTTCCACCGCGACAGCGAGCGAGTTCTTTCATCTGCCCATGATCCTTCGCAGGAGGATGCATTATTCTGCTGTCTCCTGCCCTCCCAGCTTTCTATGTCCCGCCGATTTTGACATGATCTTGCAAATATTTATGTTTGGCGAACATGGTTCAACAGCCGATGAAAAAAAAAGACACCTTTGAACTGTGTGTTACACAATAACATCTCTATATTTGATATTCTTACTCTCTATTACTTGTCTTTGTAGCGTCTTTATCTTTGGTCTTTATCTTTGTACACGTGTGCTTTTTTATGGTATAAGCTATTGGTCTCATTTGTTCCCCTTGTTTTTTTTTGCAGGAGATAGTGCATCATGACGGATTCCATGAAGTTCGGTCCAGAATGGTACGTGACTCGGTATATATCGCTGGTAAAACACAATTAGAACCTCATTTAATTGTGTTTATATTGTTGTATGTTATGTTGTATTTATTACGTTTATGTATAACCATACCGTAGGTTGCGCAAGGTTTCGTCGGCAGACAATTGCAATACTGGTAGTGGAGGCGGAGGGACCACAACTCTGGGTGCATCTCGCTATCAGTTAGCAGAGCATAGATACGGCCGGGAAGAGATGTTGGCCATGTTTGATCGCAATTGTAAACCTTTGGAGCCGTTGAACACTTTTTCAGCGCTGTATGTGGAGAAAACTCAGCTTCCATTGGCTCTCATAACCATGACAGAAGATGAAACGGTAATAAAAGACATGTATATAATATGTATGTGTGTAACATTGTGTTCTTTGTTTCTATTATATTCTTCTACTGCAACCTGAGAAGCAACAGCCTAGTTTAGTTTATTCTTGATAATAAGAAAAGAAAGACGCGGTGAAATTGTTATTCTATTGTATATTCTGTATATTAGAAACTATTTAAAAATTAACAACTCGAGCTCTCTTAACAGTTTTTATATATTTTTATCAGAGATATGAAATTTGTTTGATAAAAAAATCCTTTATAATATGAATGTATTACATGTATGTGAATTTTACAGCGTATGTGGAATGGAGGGATAACTAATATTGGTCGTGGACGAGGTAGCAGTGTCGATCGTGGACGTGGTAGAACTGGAAGAGGAGGCTTGTTTTCGTCTCATTATTCACGGGCAGTCGGTTTTGATGACTCCGGTGATGGGATACGAATCGAGGGCCAATCATTTCAGGTACAAAGCTTTTTGTTCTTTCACTATTAGAGAATACGAGTTTGCTTTTTCATTTTTATTTTAGATTTAAAATCCTTTTCTATTTTTCTTTATGTATATGTTGTAATTATAACCGCTATATAAATTACATCTAATACATATGTATGTGCATCTGTCTTTTCCCTTTTTTCTAATGTCATAAATTTTGCAGAACCAAAAACTGGGAACTTACTAATTATTTTAATTAAATATAAAAGATCCACACCGGTCAACGCAAAAATGGGGGAATCTTATAAATTTTATTTATAGGGGAGAAACAGGCCATTTGATAGATCTCAAAGCGAACGCGGCTGGTCAGAAAGAAACGGCGCTTCAGAACCGGGAGAATGGAACGGATCGACTAGTCCTAGAAAAGATCTAAATCGTGGGACTAGTGGTAGTTCGCTTATGGAGAGTAATTGGCGACGTCATCGTGGGAGCGGAGAGGACGATGATAGTTGGCGCAAGTGGGGTAAATACGTGCTCTATTCTTTATATTTCTTTAGGGATTGTTATGCATATATATTTGTGTAATAAAACGAAATATTTATATTAGGAAGAAGTAGTTGGCGTGAGGGTGGCAGTATGGATCGGGACAGATTGGATCGAAACGAGGGTGATGGAGAGGAGGGTAGAAGCGGACCAGCAAGATGGGAACATCGAGGGAACCACAGACCATCTCATGATTCAGGTCATCATCCACCACCTCGCACCGCTCGCACTTGGGAATCAAATCATCACGATAATCATGACAATCTACCTGAATGGTACATTAAATGATTTTTATTTACAGAATATATGTGTGTGTTTATATTTAATTTTATACATTCTAAACTTTATATTTTAGGGCAACGGAGAATCCAACAGAGAGTGGTGGCAGTTTCGACTCTTCGGGCGCATTTCACGGTGGAATGTATTCGGATGATGACGAGGACGGTGCGGCGGGCGCTTCCCAACAGGGTAGAACTCGACGCGT